TTAAAGGTATCTTAAATTTAAGATACCTTTCTTAAATCAGATATCAAAAGATATCTTGATGTGTTGTTTGGCAATTTGTTTTTTTAATTATAAAAGTAATATAAATTTATTCTAGAAAATTTAAAAGTACCCATAAACCCACCACCCAAAATTGCCCTATTAACATTCACATCTGGTGTATTTCCTTCCAATCTTTGACTTTCTAGGTACATTTGAGGTCTATCCTGTTTTTCTCAAGTAGGTTTTCCCCATGATATTAAAAAGTCTCAAAGTACTTTTGGAATGTTTTCTTGGATACTGGAAGTTTCACCTGCAAAATTCATATACAATTTGAAATGTAAGAAACATCTCCTACAGACCAGGGCCACCAGGGCAGCCTTCCCTGCAACAAGAGCTGTACCTGAATTGCAACAACACAATCCCACTGATTCGGAGGACAAGGCTCCGCCTAGCTGTGGCTCTGTCATTTGTTATTAATTCTTTCAGATTAAATTTCAATATAAGGCTATTTTGTACCTTAGCTAGTTCCATGTAAATTGATAATTTTTCTAAAAGAGAAAGAGAAAGAAGAGAGAGGAGGAGAAAAACTGACCTTCACACAGGCCCACATTTACTGGGAGCCAAAATCCTGAAAAGCTACTCTCAAAGTCAAGTAAATCGTCAAAGTTCCCAGCGCCATTCCTTGGGTCCCTTTGCACATTTGTGCAGCATTTCACAGTTAGCAGAGGGTGTACCCTCTCTACATTATCCTTGGTGGTAAGAACTTGCCTGTGTCATCAGCTATGCAGGAACATGGGAGAAATGTCTGCTTTCCCAACTACAGGTGCAACTTGCCCTACAGAGCAGCTCAAAATGCTCCTGGAGATGCGATTTAGATCCCCTACTCAAATTCATACCTGGGATTCCGAGAAAGAAAGAGACGTTACAAAACGTGATCACCATTTCCTTCTATATTTACCCTGCAACATCCACATGCGTGCCCATGAGTGCTGGGCCGCCACTCCCTGCTCAGACCTGGACTCATCCTCTCTCCCTAGCCCCATTCCCTGTGATGACTCTGGACACAGCCCCGAGGCCCTGGCCCCTCTCTCGCTCTCGTCCACCCCATGCCCCACACCCTCTCCTCCTCTCTGACTGTGCCCTTCCTGGCCCCTTGGGGCTCCTCCTTCAGGCTCTTCTCTCCCAGAACTCTCACATTTCCTTGGCTTTTTTGGTTTCTCTCAACTCCATGCCTGTTCATCCCACCAGCTGCCATGATGCAAGGCCCAGCCTCCCCTCCCCATGGATGCGCCTGGCCTGCACCCACAGCCTCACCTGTGAGGCACCCACTGGAGCCACCTTCCAAACACACTACCAGGGAGGTTTGGCTTTTTCTGTTTGTTATTATACTTTAAGATCTAGGGTACATGTGCACAACGTGCAGGTTTGTTACATAGGTATACATGTGCCATGTTGGTTTGCTGCACCCATCAACTCGTCGTTTCCATTAGGTATTTCCCTTAATGCTATCCCTCCCCCAGCCCCCTGGCCCCCAACAGGCCCCAGTGTGTGATGTTCCCTGCCCTGTGTCCAGGTATTCTCATTGTTCAACTCCCATCTATGAGTGAGAACATGCAGTGTTTAATTTTTGTTGGTTTTTAAAGGCAATGAAATAGGATTGCATTACATTTTTCCCCCAATACCAAACACAAGCATTTAATTAACCCCAAACACTAAACCCAAACATTCATCTTCAGCTTCCTCTTCTCTGTCTTTGCTCTTTCCCACAACCATTCCCCCTGACCACTCTTCTGCTTATAGGTGTCATATATTTCTGCCCATAATATTAGAGATAAGGCTCAATTTGAAAACAGATGCAAAATATATAATGGGTCAAACACAATCATTGCTTTCCTTGTTTCTAGACAGATAGCAGCTCTCCACCCATGACTTGGGACCCAGGCTCCTTCACCTCTTGACTTCATTGTGCCCCACAGAAGGGGCAAAGGCATAAGGAGGGGACACATCCACTATTTAGGACAATGGCCCAGGAAGACACACTCAAGTCCAGATGGGCCAAGACTCAATCACCATGGCCAACCCTCAATGCAAAGAGGATGGGAAATGTGGTCCAGCCCTGGTGAGAAACTGGATTTTAGGGAAGCAACAGATATCCCCCCCAGACTTTCTCCAGAGCACTGATCACTACTCATTCATTAACCTTTCAAGACAGGTTCTTCCAGGGGTCAAGACAATTGCCTGGAGCTGGGGGTTTGCAGTTTAGTAGAAAAAGGATAAAGCCTACAAATTGGGGATGGGGGGGAGGCAGGAATAAATTTCCTTCATAACAGTTCTAAAGTATGAAGTATCACTGAAGACTTGAGAATCAGCTAATTTGACAAACCCTCTTCTTCCACTTAAGGACTCAGAAAGACAAGAGCTTAGGGTGGCTTTGCACATTTGGGCAGCCTCCCAGCAGCCAACGTGGGATATACACCAGGCCTGCTGGAGCCTTCACAGGGCTCTGCAGACAAGGTCTCCCCAGCCAGGCAGAGTTTGAGCCCAGACACTATTCCATATAAAGTCATATTTAGGGACTTCCACTCAGCACAAAAAAATTAGCAGTGAGAGCTCGGAGTTGACCATGCAAGGACAAGAATACCCTGCCATGTAGGGGGTAGTGGCAGTGAGCAGGACATGGCCTCTGCCTCCCTCCACACATCCCAACCCACCTCCAGTGAGAAGGACATGACCTCTGCCTCCATCCATACACCCACCCCACCTCCAGTGAGCAGGACATGGCCCCTGTCTCCCTCCACACATCCCACCCCACCTCCAGTGAGCAGGACATGGCCTCTCCCTCCATCCGCACACCCACCCCACCTTCAGCCCTCCCATCAACATCTGTCCTGGTATTTGTTCTAAGAAAGGGAAAAAAGCAAATTTTCTTACAAATGAAGGATTATTGAGGGCGATCATCTGAAAGTCAAAGCTGTCAGACTGGAGAGTAGGCTCTGCAGAACAGATGCTGTCTCTTCCTGAGGCTGAAACATAAAAACAGATCCAGGGGACTGATTTTTAAGGCAACTGATCATCCATGAGCAAAGTTAACTCGTAAGTTAGGTTGGTGGCACTCAAATCCCATCTCTGGCTATGTTCTCATTCAGATAAATGATGGTTTGTTGACAGATGACATTTCTCCTTTAACCAAGATAAAAACAGAATGTCCACAAAGGAAACACATGGCAGAGTCAAAGGACACAGAATTTAAGTCTGGAGAAAGAAATTTCTTACCAAACTTTCAGAAGACTTTAGTATTTCTGGCCAAATAAATAATTTCATAAGTGGATTATATGCTTTTAAACAGCAGAATCAGTTCCAAAATTCCCCTGCACTCAAGTTTTAGGAGAGCTTTCCTAATGCATTATTAACTAATGAGTGAACCAATGTGTTAATCATGAAAGCCATAAGAAAGAACGTAACCAGACATGGTGCCTCATGCTTGTAATTCCAGCGTTTTGGGAGGCCAAGGCGTAAGGATGACTTGAGATCAGGAGTTCAAGACCAGCCTGAGCAATATAGTGAGACCCCCATCTCCATGAAAATAAAAATAATTGGCCAGGCATAGTGGCATAAGCCTGTGCCTCCTGTGCCTACTCAGGAGGCTGAGGTGGGAGGATCACTTGAACCCAGGAGATCGAGACTGCAGTGAGCTATGATGGTGCCACTACATTCCAGCCTGGGTGACACAGTGAGACCCTATCTCTAAAATAGTAATTTTAAAACTTTTTAAAAAGAAGGAAAATAACCACAAGCTAAAATTACAGATGTTGAAGGTAGAGGAGGCAGAAACCAAATCAAATTTGTAAGCACAGAGAGAGAGAACATTTCCCCACCCTTTTTTTTTTAACCTTGGCATTGAATCAACCATTAAAGTACAATGCATGCATACTTACCAACAAAAACCAGAAATGTTTTCTAAACCCTGAAATTTGGCCAACAGTTCAAAGAGCTTGTTCAAGATGCTTGCCCTAAACATAAGGAAAGTGACAAGGGAAAAATTTATTATAAAAAGAAATTGATTGCAAGTCTGTTACATGCAGGCACAGAACACATACATGGTTTTGTTTAACCTTATAACACTGAGGTGGGTATCATGGTCATTTTGTAAATGAGGAAACTGACGCTTATGAATTTGGATAGTGTGTTGTAAGTCAGTTCAGGCTGCCATAATAGAATATCACAGACTGGGTGGTTTAAACAACGGACATTTATTTTCTCGTTGTTCTGGAGGCGGGAGTCCAAGATCAAGGTGTTGGCAGGGTTAGTTTCTGGGAGCCCTCTCTCCTTGGCTTGCAGATGACCACCTTCTCCCTGTGTCTCATATGGCTTTTCCTCTGTTTGTGTGCACTGTTGGTATCTCTTCCCCTTCTCATAAGGACACCAGTCCTACTAGATTGGAACCCAAACCTTATAGTCTCATTTAACCTTTAACTATCTCCTTAAAGGCCTTATCTCCAAATTCAGTCACTTTAGGGGTTGGGGCTCAAGCCCTATATGGATTTGGTAGGGACACAATACAGTCCATAACAGATATCATGGCTAAGAGCCCACTAAGAGTTGCTAAGTAGTAGAGCTAAGACTGAATCTAAAGAGGACTCCTTCATTCTGAGCTTACTGTCTCTCCCATGCCACAGCATCTCAGACAGAGTTGGGAGGCATCCCTCTGTAAGAGCTGACTCAGTAGAACCTGCTGGCAGGGACACAATTTTGCAGCAATAAGCTCCATCCTGGTGGGTAGGATGGTGAAGTACTTACACAAACTAGATCGAAGAGCACAGAAGTCCAAGTCAACTAGAGGCCTATCCAGATGGTGTGGAATAAAAATGGCTTTGTCTACTTTGTTTATAGCTACACAAATGGTATTTGGTTTCACCAGCCCATACAAAGTGTGCCGTTCCATTGTCCTCAAAGAGCCAGCCTTTCATTCAGTGTTTCTTTTCTTTTCTCCAAACCACCAGCTAACGTCCTGGAGGGCGACTCCATGGATCAGGATGTCGAGAGCCCAGTGGCCATTCACCAGCCAAAGTTGCCTAAGCAGGCCAGGGATGACCTGCCAAGACACATCAGCCGAGACCGGACCAAAAGGAAAATCCAGAGGTACGTGAGGAAAGATGGAAAATGCAACGTTCATCATGGCAACGTGAGGGAGACTTATCGCTACCTGACCGATATCTTCACCACCTTAGTAGACCTGAAGTGGAGATTCAACCTGTTGATTTTCGTCATGGTTTACACAGTGACCTGGCTCTTTTTTGGAATGATCTGGTGGTTGATTGCGTACATCCGGGGAGATATGGACCACATAGAGGACCCCTCCTGGACTCCTTGTGTTACCAATCTCAACGGGTTTGTCTCTGCTTTTTTATTCTCAATAGAGACAGAAACCACCATTGGTTATGGCTACCGGGTCATCACGGATAAATGCCCAGAGGGAATTATTCTCCTCTTAATCCAATCTGTGTTGGGGTCCATTGTCAATGCATTCATGGTGGGATGCATGTTTGTAAAAATCTCTCAACCCAAGAAGAGGGCAGAGACCCTGGTCTTTTCCACCCATGCGGTGATCTCCATGCGGGATGGGAAACTGTGCCTGATGTTCCGGGTAGGGGACCTTAGGAATTCCCACATTGTGGAGGCTTCCATCAGAGCCAAGTTGATCAAATCCAAACAGACCTCGGAGGGGGAGTTCATCCCGTTGAATCAGACGGATATCAACGTAGGGTATTACACGGGGGATGACCGTCTGTTTCTGGTGTCACCGCTGATCATTAGCCATGAAATTAATCAACAGAGTCCTTTCTGGGAGATCTCCAAAGCCCAGCTGCCCAAAGAGGAACTGGAAATTGTGGTCATCCTAGAAGGAATGGTGGAAGCCACAGGTAAGATGTGTTCTATCCTGGAATGGCTGTGGGATAGATGCTCATTTTAAACTGGACCTGATGTTCTTATCTATTACAAGATCTAGAATACTAAACCTCATGCAATATTGACAACATCCCCTTGCTTCATGACATAGTATGCCTACGTGTCTCTCCTGAAGTATATCTGCCAAGAAGCCTAACCATTTAGTTTTTAAAAGCCCTTTGGAAAATAAATTAATGAACAATGAAAAATCACCATGTAACATATTTTAAGTCTCCAAATATTTACCTAAGTTAAAATCTGATCTGTCTCTAAAGCACGTTTTAAATGGCCTTAAAACATTGCTAATTTTAAATACTTGAGGTTATTTATTACCAAGTTAGGAGGAAGAAGTTAAGTCTTTCAAAGGAAGCCTGACAAACTGCTTTAATAAAAATGCAATTTCACCCATTCTTTGAGAGTCATTTATAAGGCCTATAGCACTGGTTTCTCTTTTGTATGAAGTGAGTGCCTAGTATCTCTCCACACTTGACCTGCCGAGCCCCCAGTAAGTATAAAGTTGCAGACAAGTAAATAACTCTAGCAGAAAAGAAAAAAGTTGAAGATCCATTCATCTTAATCCTGCTGGCCCTCTTGTTAATGGCTTATCACTGGGATGTTTTAGGGAAGATGATCTGTTCAGGAAATAGAGAAAATGGTCTGTTTTTACTGACGTCTTCGCTCATATCTGAAATTTGCACATTACACATCCCAACAGCAAAGCAGGTTCTGCCCATGTTTGTATGTAACATCCCCCAAAACAGAGCCATCAGCTATGACTCAAGATAACCATAGTGCCTCACAGGGAAAGTATAAACCAGAACCCTAATTCATTAAGGCCTTTATTGTTCTTTGAGGTAGTAATGGTGTCTTTGGGGTCCTTTTTCCTGATACCATCAGCCCTTTTGTGCTTTTAAGTCTTCAGCTTGAGATTCGGGTGGTTTATATTGTCTGAAATTGCATGACCAGCAGGCTGGCCCCAGGTTCTTCATCAACCTGTGACAAGTAACTTAATCCTGTGATCCCTTTTAGGGAAAAGTCACTGGTCCCATGTTTCTACCTCCCTGTACCCAACAGGCAAGGTCACAACCCCTAACAAATTTCTCTTACGGTGGTGGTGTGAAACTTTTGCTATAGGGTTTTTAAATGCAGCAAACAGTGAAAACGTGAGTAGAGGGCTTTGCATGGAGCTCAATGGTGGGAGCGGTTGCCTTTTCATGGAACAAAAGGCACGAGAACCTAATGGGAAAGTAACTTTAAAGAATAACAAAAGTCACTGTTGCGAAATAAGACATAAGTGCTCCAGGTGTTAACAGGAGCTGTACTTTGAGCCTGATTTGGGGGTGCATTTGTGAGGCAATAGTTAGGTGGAGGGGAGGGGAGGAGGAAGGGAGATAGAAGGGAGAAGTAGAAGGGAGGGCAGGGGAGGAGGAAAAGGGGAGGAGGGAAGGAGAGAGGAGGGAAGGAGATAGGAGGGAGGAGAATGGAAGGCAGGGCGGGGAGAAAGGAGAGGAAGAGAAGGGGAGGAGAGAGGAGGAGGGGAGGCTGGGGAGGAGGGAGGAGAAATAATTCAAACAGGGAGCTGTCACTTTCCTACAGACCAGAAACTTCCCCAACCTCAGCCGAGCACAGGGACTCTGGATCCCCCTAGCGGCCACAGAGCTACAGCCTCTGACACTATCTACTGACCACTCAGGATGCAGTTTTTCTTTTCGCTTTTCACCATAAATTCCCCCAAGAGGACGTGAGAGAGGGCAGTGTCTCCAAGCTCAAGAAGCAAAAATCACTGGAGATGTACCCTGTGGTTACTGATGCTAATCTGAGCTTTAAATTGTGGGAGTTAAGCTTTGTGTTCCCTCAAACCAAAGCCCAATCTCTGTAAAATAAATGAATCTGGAATACGCAAATTATCTTTGTGATATCCCTGAGTCGGAATTCTCCCTGGGGCAGGCCCTGTCTTTCTGATGACAGCTGGTAATAAGTGAGCCTTTCCAAAGGGAGGAACATGGTTTTCTTGGTAATTAACAGTGATACTTGCCTCTGAGCACCTTATGGCCTTTCCACAGCTTTCAAGAGAAATCTGAGTAATTACCAGCAAAACCAATCCAAATGTCCACCCCACTCCCTGGAAAAAGGCAAATCCTACTCATTTTCTTTTAAAAAATAGTTTTCTACTTCCTAGACTTGGGGGGCTGGCGGTTCTAGAAAGTTCTAGAGGTGTCTGGGAACTGAATGTGTCTTGGTCTTTTCCTCAGAGGAATCGTACAACTCAGTACCCCTAGTACAGCTGATCTCTTACGTTTCAGCAGGATACTGTTTGTGAATGAAAAGCTCAATTAGGATTTATGGGCATTAAACAGGCCCTTAGGGGAGAAAAATGCTTCAATCTCTCAAAACCACAGGAAAAAAAAAAAAAGTGGACCAAATGCACACTCGAGGAAAACAAATTCACAGGGATCTAATTATTCATCGTAGTGCTGGACTGGAAATCAGGAGCCGTGATAATAGCAAGCTAACACAAAACAGCTTCCCCTGCGCTCATCACTTCTTTCAAAAATGTCGCAGTTGACCTTAACCTGCTGTGCTCAGTGGTCTCCATGAGCAGGCCTCTTCCAGGGAGCGGGGGAGGCCCACGTGGCCACCTTCACGCGGTGCCCTCTTCCCTGATAGGACGCAGGCATCCTGGGCACAGGATGATCCTAACGTGGTGTTTTCCGGAGACCCGAGTTATCCCGCAGGAGGCCACCTGGGTCCTTCCGTCTGCTGGGAGCTCAGGCCCGGTGCAGGCGAGTGGTGCTCTGTGGATGCACTGCCTTCCAACGCCAGCCGCATTGCAGGGTCAGGTTCCATTTTTAGAAAATGAAAGTGGGCTCCTTGAAGGCTGGAAGTGAGCCCCCCTTTCATGGCCTCAAAGGGACTGCACAAAAGACGGCCCCACACCCACGCAGAACAGCCCCGCATCCCTTAGGAATGGCTTTGGCCCGGTCCCGCCTCAAGTCAGAGGGACATGCCAGGTGACCTTTAAGAACCTTCCAGTCATGTGGTTCTATTTTTGAAAATGAATCAAACCCTGGAAAATTCTGACACCAGCCACTCAGACATCCAGGAGTTGGCCGTGTCTCATCTGCAGATATATTTTTAAAGGGGGCCGTTTATGTTCCTGACACATGGGCGATTTTTGAGATAGTGGTGTTTACAGAAGGTTTCATAGCTACGTAAACAAACGTGCTCAGCAGCTGTGGCCCATGTGTGTTAAAATAGTAAAGCATTCATATAGACGGTTATTTATAGAGGGCAAATGGGCCTCAAGGCAAGATGACAGCCACGCAGCGCTGGGCTTGCTGCCAGTCAGCCCCCACTACGGCCTTGCTGATTGACGAACTTCCACATTTACCCCCAGCGATTATGCAACTGCGGGAGGCAGCATTTGCCTACACCTCGGCAAACGTGCCCGCAAGGATGAGTCCCCGCTAAGCCTTTTGGTTATTTTACACTTCTTTTGATGGAACCTATCAGACTTACACAAAAACAGACCCAGTAGTATCACTCACCCCCCCGTGTCCCCGTCCTTCTGCTCCAGTGATTATCAATTCAGGGTCAAACGTGCTTCCTCTGTATCCCCGCTCACTGGCTGCCCACCAGAATCACATCATTTCATCTGCAAATATTTCAGTATGTGGCCCTAAAAGACAAAGACTCTTTTAAAAATGTAGCTCTCATACCATTATGACACCTAAAATAATGACCAATAAATTAAGATCCAACATCTACCGAGTGTTCAAACTTCCAATTGTCTCGTACATGTCACAAGTTTTATTTACAATCAACTTGTTCGAATCAGGATCCAAATAAGGTTAACACACGGTGATTGGTTGAGATATCTTGTAAGCCTCTTCATCTGTGAGTTCTTTTTTTTTTTTTTCTGATAAGTTTTTCTTAAAAAAGTTAACTTCTGAAAGATGTAAATACTACATAGAATACTGGGGAAAGTGGAGGATGAAACACACCAGAGAGCACTTTATAGACAAGGAGGCAGGGCTGATTAATCGGAAGTCACCATCTGGGAGTTACCAAGGAGGACAGCCAGGGTTCACTGGAAATAGGTGAAGGCAAGCCATCCTTCACCATAGAAAAGCTCAGTTCTGTCGCTAGTATAGTTATTCCCAGGCAGAGAATTTAGTCATATAAATCACATCACAGATCATAAAATTTTTGAGTTGGAGGGAATCTTTGCCCATTTTACAGATGAAGAAATGGAACCCCAACAAGACCCGTGACTTGGCTAAAGTCAAATAGCCACCAGCAGAGCAGGACCTTGAAAGCCACAACCATTGATGGTGTTGCCAGGAACTCCATGTTCAGTGCCCTTTGCACCATGAGTGCTGCTGATTCATGATTCAGCAGAGAAATGCACCCAGAAAAGACAACTGATATTTCTTTTTTTTTTTTTTCAGATGGGGTTTCGCTCTTGTTGCCCAGGCTGGAGTGCAGTGGCGCGATCTCGGCTCACTGCAACCTCTGCCTCCCGGGTTCAAGCGATTCTCCTGCCTCAGCCTCCCGAGTAGCTGGGATTACAGGCATGTGCCACCACACCCGGCTAATTTTGTATTTTTAGTAGAGACGGGGTTTCTCCATGTTGGTCAGGCTAGTCTGGAACTCCCCACCTCAGGTGATTCTCCCACCTCGGCCTCCCAAAATGCTGGGATTACAGGCGTGAGCTACTACACCCGGTTGACAACTGATATTTCATATGCAGATGACTAATATCATGTGCCCTCTTTTCTTTTCTCTCACCATTAGTTCTTCTTTTCCTTTAAGGTTCTTCTGTTTCTAAATGTCATCAATTCATTTTTAAATTACATAGACATTGACATGAATTTTAAACAACCATATATCAGAATGAGATATACCACAAAACAATTCTGAAATCAAAATTAAATAAGCATTGTCTACAAAAATACCCCTGGAAGAACATGAT